GGAGGTGAGTCACGACTGGCAAAAATTCGATGAAAAATGTATATTACAGAATTGTATTTCTCTTCTGTGTTTAAACTGCCTCATGAAAACCACGTGCTTTTCTGCAGCTGGTGCCTCTGCTGATGCACAGAAAAAAAAATAGCGGGGAGAAGATTAAAATTGAACTGGCTTGGAGTCTGTGTAATCAAGGAAAATATCTCGGTGATTTGCTATTATAATTTTCAATAACAAACTGCAGGGCTCCTGGTGCACTAATAATAACGGGTTGAATGAGGTGGGGAAAGAACCTGCCATGGGGTGTTTGTGTGTGTGTGTGCTTGTGGGAAGCACTTACAATATTCCCCTTCTCCTAATTTTGAAGAGGTATTTTTAGTGCGTATTTCAGAGAGCTTTACATAAACACATCTGCTGGAGTTTTTTCTGTGAGATGTCTTTACAACCCTTTTTTCTGTCCCCTCCCTTTCCAGGGACAAGGGAACGGTTTGACTGTTTTCTTTTTCAATCAGATGAGCAAAGCTGGAGACCAAGAGAGAAAATCAAAGGGTCATTTTGCCAGCGCCAAAAGGCTTCTCAGCCCCAAGGGTGGATTTTAGAAATTATTTCAGCAGCTCAGACCACCCTCACTGAAGCCTGGGGCAGAAGCACATGGGATGTGGCCATGGCAGAGAGCCACCTGGCCTCTCCTGCACAGCCAAAACCTCCAAGTGAGGAAAGGAGAGGAAAAATGAGGTATTCCATCACCTGTCTGTGCACTTTTTGCATGTTACTCAGGAGAACTGGCGAGAGCATCCCTGGTGCGAGTGGCTGTGGGTGCACGGGTTTCTCCTGCTTACCCTCAGGATGCCTGTGTCCTTCCACAGGCTGATGTTCCCAGTTCCCAGGCCGGGCATCCATCCACCATCATTTAATGCCAGTTAAACATTCACAGCTATTAGGCTCATCAGAGATGCTTTAACCTTTTTCTGTTTCGGGGCTCTGGTTGGCTTGAGCTGCTCCTGCCTTTTCACTGGGGGCTATAGAGAAGATGGGAACTTGGAGCTGCTCAGGGCTAAAGCAGGGAAGGTATTAAAGTTTCTATACTGGTTTTCCAAGATCCTCTGCCCTGAGCTTGGAAGTGCTGTCAGTGCAGGCCTGCCAAGTGCAGTCAGTGTCTGGGGCCTCTGAAGTGCTTGTGTTTGCGGCCGGGTGCATCCAGCACCTGACCCAGCTGTGTGTGCAAAGGAAAATAAAGGATGGGGAAAAAAAAGGGCTTGGTTAGCATGATCCAGCCCCAGTTTGCTTACACTGCTGCTTGCAGAGCAGCTGGGAAAGGCAGAGGGGATGTGCAAGGCCACCAGGGACTGGGATTGCTGGAGCCCATCCTGGGGAGGCGACGGACAATGCGGCTGTGGGTGGGGACATGGCCTGGTGCCAGGGTCCGGCAGCTGAAAGGTCACTAGGAAGACAATTTTCCTGCTCTTGTCTCCTCTTGAGATGAGTTACTGCGGGGAAAAAGCTGACTGATAAAAGCTTTGTGGCAGGAAACTGCTGTGGGGCTGGGACAGAGGAGCTGGGCTGGGACACTGGAGCCCGTGGGCAGAGGAGGGCAGTGCCCGGCCCGGCAGCGCCGGGGTGTCAGCACACAGGGATGTCAAGTGCACACCAAACCCTCGCTGGCTGCACGTCCCTGGGAGGCCAGAGGGGACGGGTGTCCCTGGGCTCAGCTCCCAGAGGAGTCTGCGTCACCAGGTGCCACATTTCATGGCCTGATGCGATGGCACTTGGCCATGGCATGGAGCATGGCAGCATGGGATGGAGGGATGGAGATATCTGTGAGTTAGCTCTGCTCCCTGAGGCAGAGAACGCCTTGTGCCTTTGTCCCATCCTCTCTGGAGGGTGCCAGCACCCATCCATGGGCAGGAAGGGCAGTGGTTAACTGGCCTCCATGGTGCCTCCACAAACTGAGGGTGACATCCCTTCCCCAGGGAAGTGAGGCAGGATGGCGTGGCCTCAGGAGATGGGGCTCTGTGGGGCACTGCTGGCAGTGGGATTCAGAAATGTAACGTGCCTTTAGGAAAGGCTGGTGGGAAGCAGTTCAGGCATCTTGCAAAAATAAACAGGGACCTCCCCATCTCACAGCAGGCTGGCACCTTCTCCTCCAGATGTACATAGTGTTTTGTGGTGGTTTCACCCCTCTTCAAATGAAGAATATTTGTTTTTTTTTTCCCACCAGTGACTTTTCCTGCATCATGTCTATTAGAGTAGTAATAGATCATTTCTCTCTGCTGTCTATACATTCTGTTAGGGAAGGAAAACACGGGAGAGCCCAAATATGGGACCAAAATGAGGAGATGATGGGCTGGCTGGGCTGTGAAAAGCAGTGAAAAGTGTTTGCTCTGCTGGGGGACAACAGTGCTTCAGCATCAGAGTGAGGACCAAACCCTGGGCATCCTTCTTGTCTCCTCTTCTTCCTGCCTGCTCTGGCCCATCCTCTGGGCTGAGTGAGCTCCGTGCTTCCAGCAGCATCACACCGAGCATCCTCACTGCTCTCCTGGGGCCAGCTCCAGCAAAACACCCACAGAGGGCTTTTCTTTCCTGCTGCAGGCACGAGCAGCAGGGAATGTGTGATAATCCCTCCTTTGAGGCCACAGTAATCGTTCACACCAAACTGCATCACTTTTATATCAGTCATGAAAGACACCAAAGACAATAAGAAAAAAATACAGTTTTATATATATATTCAATCAATGTCTGTGGAGCTCAATGCGAGGGGATTACCAGCCAGTTTAGAGCGTTAGGGACTCTCAGCATCCATCAGAGGAGAACATTTGGTTGAATGGAAGCCAGCCTTTGATGGAATTGGAGAATAATTATTTCCATCGATAATTACATCCAAGCCCAGAAGAAACGGCTCCTGGCACGTTGCAGGACAGGAGTCCTTGACTGCCTCGAGGCCAGCATGTTTTAACCCCAGGACCTGGAAATCCCATTAGTGGGAGCGGGGGCTGGGGTGAGAAGGACATTGCCTGCCGTGCCCAGGTCCTGGCAGTGGTGTCTCAGCCTGCTGCCAGCCCGGGGAGGAACCCTCCTGCCTCCACTGCTGGAGTGGATCCAGCTCAGACTTTGCACAGGTCATTAATTTGGGGACGTTTTTAATGGATCCTAATGATTGAGCCTGTTCTTAAAAGGGGTTTGGGAAAGGCCACAAGCCAATTAGCTTGCACACAGACAGCGATTAACTGTGTAGCTTCCTGGATGGTTAAAAATAATGTAGATGTTGGGAAGGGACTGGGGAATTTATTACAAGCAGAGTAACAGAGTTTTAAAGCCAAAGGGGCTATCACCTCCTGCATGTTCTTGGCCAGAAATATTTCACCCAGCTTCCTCCCAGTGACTCCCGTTCCTTGTATTTGGCTGTGCACATCCTTAAATGTTCAGGCATTACAAAATGGGCTCCAAGGAGGAATCAGCTATTAGTGAAAGTAGGAGCTCGCTGAGAGAGAAAACAGGTGGAGACACACCTTCTGCAGGTGCCCCTGTGCCAACTCCAGCCCCAAAACGTGTTGCTCATGGCTGAGGCAGGCAGCACGATGTTCCCTGGGACATGCAAGACTCTATTCATGCCTAACTGGGGCTTTTTTAACATCACATTGCTCTTTAACCACCCTCTGGGCCCCATTGAACCCCCAGGATGTGCAGCCCTGGCCCCACAGGGGGCCCACGTGTGATGGCTGTGGTGGTCTCTGCAGCCCAAAGTATCTTCCACTATGTCTGCAGGGCTGGCAGGGGGACCTCCCAGCCTTTCCCTTCTCTGGTGGGGTCCATGTGGCCTGGGGGCATAGTTGTGCTGCTTTCCAAAGGGATGAGGAAGGTTGGGTGGCAGACACAGCAGTGGGACCTTTCAGAGCTGACCTGGGCATGGATGGCTGAACTCCAAACCCAGTGCTGGGATTGGCTCCAGAATGGTAATGGGAAGAAACGGGGACACTTTCAGTGCCAGCTGAACTCAACCCACCCTGGATACCAACCCGCAGTCAGGCTGAGCCTGGACATGCCAATACTTGTTTTATCTATTCAAATAATACTCTGGATGACATCAAACCCCCAGTGTTCTTAGCACCCCTGCTGGGTACAGCTTATGGCTTTTCATTAATCTTTCCATTCTTTGAAATAAACATCTGCAGGACCTGGAAACCTATTTACTTCCATCCCCAGTGTCTGCACACAGGCTCGTTTGAGTTTGTTTTCTCCATTTGGCTTATTTGCTTCATTTCAGCTTGCACAAGCCCCTTGTTTCTTAAAGACTGTTCACTCATTGGCTCTGATCTTCATCAGCTCCCGTGGTCTTCCCAGGGCTCTTGCAGGCACTGACCTGACCCAGGTGATTCCCCTTAGCTCTGCGGGGCTGCCCCAGGTTCTCCAGGTTGGGCTTTCAGCAGCAAGAGGTGTGTTCACTGGCCCAGCACCCTATTTATAGGAGCAGGGAAAAGGGCTGCTCCTTGACTGCCAAAAGTTTGCTTCCAGTGAAGGATGAAGATGTGTGGCAAGGTATTATTAGGGCAGTAACAGGTTTGGTAAATTGCTTTTGAAATACAAAAGGTTTTTTTCTGTCAGAGTGCAAGGCCTGTCCTGTCTCAGCAGAGCTGGTAATCTAAAACCAGGATGCAGGAGAAGATGTCCTGACTAGCTCCCATTCTCCCTTCTCCCTTGGATTGGATCTGGACAGTCTGGAGCTGTCCAGCTGCTCCCTGGCTGCATGACACTCATGGAACCTCTGAGTGCTCAGTACAGCAAGCCTGGGGTGCAGCTTTGACTGAAAATGGGGAATTTTGTTGGAGCCTTGTAGGAGAATTTCAGGGCTGAACACTGAGAGCAACCTGCATCTCTTCTTCACAGCAGCACAGGTCCTACCTGTGGAAAGGAAAGGAGATTCTCCAGGACATGGGAAACCCTCAGCCAGTGACCCCAGTTCCTGATGGCAGTTCTTGATGGCTCTCTTTCTTCTCCTCTTGCTCTGGCAGTGGGACACTCGGCTGCCTCCCGTACCCCGCGGAGGACAGACGTCCTGAAAAGCTGAGCAGCTGCGTGGTCAGGGAGACCTCCACCACCAATGGCTGTGTCAAAGGGAGGGAGAGACGCGACCATGGGCACCGCAGGTCACGCAGGTAAGAGCCAGGGCTGTGAAAGGCGTCACCTCAAAGCCGAGGGGTGGCAGGGGAGGCGTCTGTGGCTGTTTATCCAGCCCCTCTGGGGTCTGTGAGAGCTGGGGATGGCTTAAATGACTCTGTGAGTGTACAACAGATGCATGTGGTTGTATGAAATCCCAGTGCATGCTGGCAGGGAGAAACCTGCAGTTCACTTCCACTCCAGGGCTAGCTCCTACAGCCTCCTTCCAAGTATCACTCTCTGGAAGACAGGCAACCTGCCAGCACGCCTATGCACTACCAGGTCTGCTGAGAACCACCCTCAGCAATTCCCCTCTCCCCAGGCCTAGATCAGACCAGCAGCATTGGCTTCATTAAGACACAGCTTCATTATCAGCTTGTTGTTCGCCCCTGATCACTTGAGAGGAGAAAAATGAATGGAGCATTGTAAGTGAAGCATCTGGGGTCTCTGAGCCCTGCCTGCTAAACTATCTCTGGGATTAAAGCCTCTCTGTTCGGTTAAAGATGCTGCAAAGAAAGAGCAAGAACGCACATTTCATATCTTCAGATTTCAGGCTAAGTGGAACAATAATCTGAAGCACATTTTTAATTAGACTTTGATTATAATCACGGAGAAACAATTAAAGTCAGATCAGCACATGGGAGAAAGCTTCCACATCAAAGAGAGATTTTTCTCTTGGGAGAAGGGCTCTGCAGAAACTGCCTGTGGCCAAAGGGTCAGAGATTCTTCCCTGCTTTCCCTTGGCTGTGGGAAGAGATTCTTCCCTGCTTTCCCTTGCTTGTCCAGTTGTACCCCTGGGTGAAGGGATTGAGGGGCACCCAGACCTGAGTGCTGGGGAGCCCAAAGCTGTGCTAGGAGAAAGCATGTGGGAGCTGGGCTTGAGCATCCTGAGAACAGAGAGTGTGTTAGCAGTGCTCAGGTCCCTGACCTAGCACAACCCTGGGGTGTCTCTGGGCAGGTGTCTGAGCTTAGTGACAATGAGAGTTCCTGGGAAATGCGTGACTTCTACCTCAATGCAGACAGAAGACCCACTGAGCCCAAAGTGTGCTATATCCCCTAGCAGTGCTACTGCTGGTCTGTGAAATCCTCAGGAGGAGAAAGAGAGCAAGCAGCAGTCTGTGGGTGCTCTGTGGGGCTGTGGCTGCCCCTTGGATTTACTGCACCAGAAGCACTCAGCACTCATCCACGGCTCACAACTGAAGCACTAACTTGCAGTTTTGTTTTGCAGAGCAATTTTGTTTTTCAGAGCATATTAAAAGCACTAAGCAATTGGGTTTTTACGACAGTGTAATTTTGGTGGTAATTCAAGCCCTGGCTGATCAAGTGTTGAGGTGTGGTGGAGGCTGAGTGTCCCCCCCCAAAGTGCAATTTGCTGTGCATTAGGACTTTTATTAGCAATAACGTTTGTTCTTTCTACAGAAAGCTGCTCAATTTTTGGTCTGTTTCTGTAGTGGAGGTCCCACAGTATTTTCCAAACACAGGGCTGCTTCCACTCATTACCTGCTCCTGGCTCTTCCCACTGGCAGGGGGAGAAGTGGGGAAACTGAGGCACACACACAGCACCCTCATTTCCAGCAGTGATTTTTCAGAGGCCCTGGGGAGCTGGCTGTGCCCCCACAAGCTTTGGTCCTGGATTCATTTGGGGATCCACCTGGGAATCTATTTGGGGATCCATGGACTGATTTGGGATCGACCTGGGGATCCACAGGCTGCCACCAGCTGTCCTTGTCTTTACAAGCATTTGCTTTAGTTAATGAGTAGCCACAGAGTATCTGTCATTTTTTCAGCCCAGTGCTCTGAATTAATTAACCATGATATTTGCTTTTCATTGAAGCATAATGTAATTCGACATCATATGTTTAAAAAAGAAATTAATTTACAGGAGGGTTTATTTTGAAGCTTTAACAACTGTATAAGAGATGCATATCTCCTTCAATTACCATAGTGTCTCAATAAATATATATATATTTCTAATCAATTGCTACTTAACACATGTCAAGTCTTTATTATAGTCAGATGCATCTGGTTGTGATAATTACTGTGTGCAAATTAAATACCAATTAATTATTTAAAGCATATTTACAAAGAGCAACAAAACCTATAAATCTGTTACAGAGTCGTTAACCTTAGCAAACATGTTTTAAATAATCAGCATTGCTGTGGTGTAGCTGTCTTGTTATAGCTCCATTAGACCCTTTAAACTGTGACCAACTAATTTGTTAGAGGGTAATTAGGCATTACTAGTGCCCTGAGTCCACCATGAACACTGATCTTGGTGCCCCATGTCCCTGAGGTGGGGATGGCAGACAGAGTCCCACGGGAGTTGATTTAGGGTTTATTTTTATTATTTTTGATGTTTGTTTGGTTTTTCCCCCCCTCCTCAGCCCTTCATGTGATGGGGAGAGGCCGCCACCAGCCCGGGGGAAGAAGAAGAAGAAGAAATCTGGCCGCAAGAAGCGAAGGAGGTGAGGGCAGCCATGGCAGTGTGAGGGGACAGGCAGGGCAACCCTTGGCTGGGTGTGATGGAGGAGGGTCAGTGAAGGAGGTGAGGGCAGCCATGGCAGTGTGAGGGGACAGGCAGGGCAACCCTTGGCTGGGTGTGATGGAGGAGGGTCAGTAAGGAGGTGAGGGCAGCCATGGCAGTGTGAGGGGACAGGCAGGGCAACCCTTGGCTGGGTGTGATGGAGGAGGGTCAGTGAAGGAGGTGAGGGTGGCCATGGTGTTGTGTGGGATAGAAGGGGACAGAAGCCCTTGGCTGGTCTGTGTAAGATGGAGGCGTGAGGGGCTGGGGGTTCCACAGCCCAGGGAGGTGCTGCCATCTTCTTGCCCTCCCCTCAGGCCAGCAGAGCTGGGTTGAGGCTCATCTCATTCCCACTGGGAGCCCCCAGCCTCTGTCTGCCCTGGCAGTGCTGGGGTGCCCTGCGGTTCCTAATGCCCCTGTGTCTCCTCAGGTCTCCCTCCTACAGCCCCTCACCTGTGAAGAAGAAGAAGAAGAAAAGCTCCAAGAAGCGAAAAAGAAACAGGTATTTTTCCCTTGAAAAAGTAATTCAGCTGGCAGCAGCTGCTGGGGGGTTTGGAGAAGGGGTGGAAGGCACAGCTGCCTTGGGCAGAGAGGAGTGAGGCTCTGGCTGTCAGCAATGGCCACCTGGAGGTGAACTCTGGCCACAGAATGGGGTGCCCACCCAGAGCAAACAGATAAACATGTGCTGTTGGGGTGTGGGGGCAGAGAGACAGACAAACCAAATCCACAAGAGGTCTGGGGAGCATCAGCCTTCTGTCCTTGCTGTCCTATTCATGTGGCTCCCATCCTCTGGGATACCAATGGGATCAGTGCTCAGGGTTTGCACTGGTCCCCAGCCCTTCTTTCCCAGCCTGCAGAAAGTGCCAGGACCAGGAAAAGGCTCAGACAAGCTCCCCGCATTCACATCCCAGTCTCCTCTCCTAGCTCTGGTGACTACCTCCACCTTCCCCTTCTGAAGCCCATTTTTAATTCAGAGTATGATTAAATTTTAAAATTGCAAATATTTCACTGTTTTCTCTCAGCTGTTAAACCAATATTTGAAGAGAACAGTGGATACCATCTTCCTTGGAAAGTTCATGTATTTATAATATATTGAACCAAAGAGAGAGCTACCAAAAATGGAAAACAGGGTGAAAAGTTGAGCTTCACTCTTAAAGAGGAGGAGAGACAAGGATATAGGAATTTCTTTAAAACAGTTTCTTCCCAAGGAGGGATTCTTATGCTCTTTTGCAAATGCCATCTCATGATGGAAGTCCTTGGTCAGAGACTCTTTGGCTTTGAACCCTTAGTACCCATTTATGTCCCTGCAAGCCAAGAATAAGCTGTAGCTGGTCCCAAAAGGCAGTATGATAAACCATTCAGGATTAGTGACTAATGGAGGTTGTTTCCAGACACCTGGTAGCACTTCAACTATGGATCCTGACTGACTTTGCCAGAGGCAATCTCACAGTCCCTTTAGGCAGGACTTGAGGCAGGATGCTGTGCTCCAAGGTGAGATGAGACAGTGGGCTGTGCTGTGTGCTGGGGCCAGGCCTTGCTGCATGGAACTGTCCTCCATGCTCTCAGGGTGCTCTATATGAGAAAAGTATCTCATCCCAGGGATGCTCCAGGAGTCAAGACAGAGTAATGACAGCAGTTTGGCTGTGAGGCTGCTCTGGGGTCACACAGGAAGGATTCTTCCTTTGATTGCTATTTGGTCCTTCATACAGAAAACCAGGGAAAGAACTCACACTGGCCACCTCAATGTGCACAACTGGGAGGCAGTAGCAGAGAAAAGGGACCCACCAGAGATAGGGGATGTATTTGATCTCTCTGAAGACTTGTTAACCTGAGGATCACTTTCTCAATTACTTGCAGAGTGTGCTAGTCACTTCTACCACACCATTTCTCAGCTGCTAAAGGAGAGCTGGGGCCATTCTACCCAGCTGGTGCATGAGGTCCTCTCTCAGGGCTCAGTCTGGGCCTAAACACATTGTCTCTGATTCAAATTTACAACTTTGTGAGGTGCTGTATTCAATGTACATATTTGTGTCTTGCAGGTTATCTTCAAAGAAGAGAAGGCACAGGTAAGAGTTGAGCAAGTGTGGGTGTTCCCTTAGAAATACGAGTTTAATGGTCTCTTCAAGGTTGATATTCACTGAGTGGGGGCAGAAGACACTTTTTCTGTGTCTCCTTGTGGAATCCCCTTGGCTTCCCCCATTCCTTTGGGTCTGGGGCTACCCTCTCCTTATTCAGCCTTATGTGTTCCTCAGAACTCACAGGAATTGGGTCCCCAGCCTAGCCTGTACAATCAAGTACATAACTGGTGTAACCTCTTGGTGTTACCTCTGGCAACTTCATCCATCCTGCACCTGAACCTTCATTTCTCTTATGGTTTCATTTGCAAACAGTGACCATCTTTGAAACATTCAGAGTCAGTGGCTTCCCAGGTGTGTACTGGAAGAACTCTCCTGATTCCAGTACGTGTGTGTACAGAATCAAGAAGTTTTCATCTTTTCTGTGTAAAAAAGGCAAAGTCATCAAGTTGGCTGATCCCTTTAAGGGTTTTGGCCAAGCCCACGAGGCAGATTTGTCAGCAGGCACTCGGACCCCCTGTGCTGTGGCAGAATCATGAAACCCTTTCATTTTTACTGCATGCTCTTGGGCAATCTGGCTGTAACATTGATGTGTGATTGTGCAGCTTTTTATCGGAACAGAAATCTCCGAATTAATTAGCCATTTCTTATTTAGTTCTTCAAGCCCCAAAAGTAAGAGAAAGGAAGAAAGAAAACACAAAAAACAGTAAGTAGTGATTCATGGAGTTCCCTGCCCTGCCTGCACAGTGTGGGGCTAGGAAGTGCTTGATGTGGTGGGGCCCCTGGAACTAACACCTGCTGCACAGCCCTAAGTGACTCTCAGGATTATTTTGCAGCTAAAACCAGCAGTTCTGGTCTTTCTGGAATGAAAAAGGGTTTGTAGAGGCTGGAGATCTTTCCTCTCCCTTTCTTTTCTGATCCCTCATTCAGTACTTTCTCTGTGTCTCGCAAGGATGTGAAGGGTCTTGTTCATCCAGTCTGGAGCAGAGACTCCGGCTTTTCTGGTGGGAGCAGCATGAGAGGATGAACTCCCATCTGCTGAAGGGGCAGGCTGGCACAGTCTTACTGGGAAGGGCCTTGGCTCCTCCTGGTTTGCTGCTCTTGGAGGTCACAGTAGAGGCTACTCATGATATAAAGTACAGCCAAATATTTGAATGGAGCCTAGGGAAGAGAAAGGATTTGTTTGAAGGTGATAAAGGTTGCAAATATCTGGTGTTGAGGTTCCCATCAGCCCTGGAGTGTTAGCAGAGCACAGTCCTATGGGGCAGATAACCCAGGGGTATGGTATAAAATGGGGTTCCTCAGGGCTGGAAGGAAGGGCTGTAAGCTGCCTCTGTTTTTAACTTCCTTCTTTGTCTTCTCCTGGCATTTGCGGCTTCTGGCTTCTCACCTGCTTTCAGAGCAAGGAAACAGTTCTGAGGCTGCACCTTGGGAACTGATCCCCTGACTGGCTTTGCTGGCACTTGGGATACTGCCTGAGCAGGCCATTTCTATTGCATGCAGAAAGCCTGTCTCCTTTCTTCTACGATTTCTGTGTGTTCAGTGGCACAGACACCCTTTTTTTCCTCAAACTGGGCTGCCCTGCACCTAAAAATCACAGTGGTAAAAGGGAGGATTCCTAAGTTATCTGTAAAAGCAGGCATCTCCCCAGCCTTACGTAGCAGTACCCTACCAGTGTGGTTAAAGCAAAGATCCAGGTCCTGCTGCTGTGCCCTGACCTCAGGGAATGAGAGCTGCTGGAATTGCTCTTTGGGGATAAACCAGACAAGGCGTTTCAGCCTCATTTTCTGCTCACAAATCAGAGCTGAGCCACTCCCGATTTCTGCAAACCTTATTGCTCCCAGGCGTGGATCAGATGGATCCCATGAGCCATCTCAGATCAGGATTTTTGCATAATCACGTTGCTTTGGCTTGTCTTCACATCAAGCAACTGGTTATCTAAATCACACAGGACCAGTTTTTCCTCCTGAAGGGAGGGAAAACACAGTGGAGGGACTGGTGCAGAGGGTCAAGAGCAATCATGGGGATTTTCACACAGATCCACCATATGGGGGAGAGATGTTCAGTGTTGCTGATTTCAGCTGTATGGAAATAAGGAAGGTGGATCCCAAAATGTGGAGTTTTTAAAAACACAGGGTGTGAAAAGCATCAAAGGAAACAACCAAGTGGAGTTCAAGGAATTGCTCTTGGAGGTTGTCCTTTAATCTTAAAGGAGGTGCTGTTCTCAAGTAATTATTTGCTGAGTTTTTATACTGGCAGGTTGTTAAATGCTGTCCAAGCAGGCCATACTCATGCTGTCAGTGACTGTATGGTGTGGCCACGAAGCCAGGCTGTTCCCACCAGCTAACCCACCATTAGCTTTGCCTGCTGGCACAGCCATGCCAGCCTGAGCAGATGGATGTGCTGCCAGGTCTAAAATAACTGCTGTGGTGGGCACTGGTGAGAGGGAATGGGCACAGAAGGTGGCAGGTAGCCTGTCACCGATGTCACCCTGCTCTCTGCACACAGGACTTCAGCTGTTGGTGCAGGCAAGAACAGCCCTTCAGTGACAGGGCCAGGCAATCCATGAGAAACAGCCTGGATGGTGCAAAGGGAAGCACAACAGGGCACTGGACCTGTGTCCCTGTGCATGGTTTGCTGGGGACTGTTCTCAGGCCCTGTCACAAAAGGAAGCAGCAGTGACTGGGCCCCTGGCAGAAGCCAGGTGAATAGTCCTGCCCCTCCAGCAGGAGCCATGCACAGGGCAGGCTGCAGTTAGGGAAGCTGTACTTTGTGTAGCAGTCATGAGAGCTGCCCCTAGGACTCCCCCACCTGGAGAGGGTGGGGAAGGCTGGGCTGTTACCGAGTGTACTGTTTCACTTGGAGCTTGTCCTTCTGCATTGCTCTTTAACAAGGAGCCAGCACTACGGAGAGGGTTGGAGGTTTGTGATGGGTTGCCCAGAGGGATGGTGCTCCCTGCAAGGCTCAGCAATGGGAAGGTCTTGGGCTGTTGCCTGGCTGTTTTAGGGTACTTTGCAGGATGAAAGGCAAGCACATAGTTCTTTAAAGTCTTGAAAGCAGAAAGGGTTGGTGCTGGCTGCTGCACTCCTGCAGGCTTGTCCACAAATCCTTCCCCAGCAGGCTACAGAGCCAACCTAACAGCTTGCATGTAAAATGCTAGCACAGACCTTGGGAAGATGGCTGGTTTTAATGTCGGTGTAGCAATGAAAGGACGGAGAATTTCATGCCTTGATGTTCTGTACAGCGTCTCACACACCAGTCTCTGGTTTAAAGCTCAGATCTCCGTTCTGGTTGGAATGTTATTGACTTCAGCCTCCAGCTGCTGGCTCTTGCATCCCCCCCATCTGTTGGCCTAACGCGGGTTTTCCTTTCTGCCCCTCAAAGCTCTCGTGGGCGCACCCGGAGATCTCATCGCCATCGCCGCTGCCACTCTCGCTCGGAGAGCTCCGACTCCCACTCCCCCAGCTGCCGGAGCAGGTAACGGCACCGCTCCCCGAGCTCAGTGTCCCTGTGGGCTCAAGGACACGATTGCCATGGCCTGCCTGAGCCACAGGCTCTCTGTGCAGAGCCACGTCCCACTCTGGTAACAGCAGTGTCACGTGCTGGGGGCTGAGCTGCTTGTGGTCTCGGCCACAGGAGGGTTTTGCCTGGAGGAGCAGTGGCTGCAGCTTTTTGGTCTGACAGTCACTTCTAATCCCCATGGCTGATGATCAGCCCATGACAGCTGATTCCAGTCTAGTGTCCCTTCCCCAGCCCAAGGGCTCTGTCCTGCTGATGTTCCAGGAAACCATTAAACATGGTCTTAGAAATGGAAATATATTTACCCGTGGCAATCTATAGCCACTGTCTTTGACCTGATTAAAATCTCTGTCCTGTGGATGACAGGACCTGGGGCCCGCTAAGTGGATGCTGGTGTTAGACCCGGCATCACTGCAACAGCAAGTGATTTAAACACATCATGAGTTCATGTTTCATGTTCTCTGAAAGCACTTGAAGAACCCACCCCCACTCTCCCACTTCACTCCCTCTAAGTACTGTGAATTTTCTTATGAAAAGCTGATGATCAGTGGGGGGAGGAATGCAATCAGTAATTGGAGGGGTGCTCACTCAAGAGCAGAGTGTGTCTTCTCTTGGAGGTGTATCACCATAGGAACATTCTAGGCTGCATGAAGGTATAGCTTGCCTTGAGCCACCATAAAATCATGAGCTGGAGCTAAACTCTGAAGTCAAGGTCCAAAGCCTGGATACAAAATTATTATTTTTCTTTTAAGATAGAAAAGCAAAACACCCCTTTCTTCCCATTATGACTCCACAGAGCAGTCACGTGGGAGACATTTTCCCCACACACAATGTCCTGGCACAGAGCTGCCAAGGGTTTGTATGGAGCTGGTAACGGGCACTACTGCAATACTAAGGAATAACATTCTGGTTCTTCATGTCTTCTGGAGGCACAGAGCCAGGTCTCGGGAGGAAGGGCGCAAAATACGGCGAAGACACTCCCGGCACCATTCAAAGATCACTGCAAAGAGAAGCTCCTCTGCAGAGGTTCAGGCCAGTCAAAAAGCCAGCCAAACCCTCCCACTCTACAGCTTCCTGTCTCCTAAGGAAGTAGTAAGTATTATACGCTGTCCTTCTTTGCTTGAACTAGCCAGAGAAATCTGGGCAAGAACTCTGATATGAAATTTTTATAACTCAATTATAGTGATGTTAGACGAACTTGGTTAAACTGTATTATTAATTCATGGTGCTGTTCTCCAATGTATGTAAAGTCATTCCTTCCTTCAGCACTTTCACACCAAGGGTGGGGCTGGAGAGGGGAAAAACTTACAAGGGCTTTAGCCTATGAATAATGAATTAAGGACATTTAACGAGGAAAAAAAAAAAAAGGTGGCCTCCAGCAAGGATATTTTACAGGAAAGTGTTTGTTATGCAGTCTTTGCTCAGCTGGATGTAGACTTAATTCACTGGTCTTCACATCCAAAAGTTTAGTCCTTCAGGGTAATAAAGGGTATCAAACATATATAAAAGGAACATTTACATTTAATGAGTTGCTGATTATTGGCAGGGGATGTTTTCTGACTATCAGGATCCTTCTAGGATCACTGTTGCTCTGGACTGACAAGCCCAGGGGCCAAATTCAGAACTTATAAGTAGCCCTCATTGATGCTAATGGGAACTGCCTGTGCAGCTGAGGGTAAAATCAGAATCAGTGCCTTGGGATGTTTTTCCATATATATGGAAAGAGATGATATAATACAAGAATTGAGGGAGCAAGAGGTGGAGGGAAATATTAGCTACAGATTGATATCAGCCTTCCTTTTCCGTGACACGTTTCCCATTTGTTCCTGGCAGCAGCAAAGCAGAGGTGTGATGCTCTTTGACTGTGGTGTTACCATCAGATAGGCATTCTGGAGAGATTAAATTGCTACATAGGACTGGAGGTAGTGCAGAATCTTGTACTCACATGTGTGGATGTGTAATGCTAGAGGTGTTCTGAGTACAGAGTCCTCCAAGCCCCGAAGTGTTTTTCTCCTTCAGGCCCAGTCATCAGTTGGAAATAGCTCAGCCACACGCAGGAGCTACATCAGATATGAGAGAAATAGTGCCAGCAGGAGGAGAGACTCTACCCACACAGACAGCGTGCCCATCAAAATACCCAGGGATTGTACGTGGGCACAGACAGGCACAAGCTGTCTCTCAGCATTATAGACGGGCCTATTTGCTCTCGTTAGAGAGGCTCCTGAGCGTGTGGGGCCATGTGAGTCACTGCTTGGGAAGCCTTATAAGGCAGCTGGAGAGCAGAACCCGCACACCACACGTTGATGTGTGTGTGTGCAGAAAAACAAGGTATGCCACGAGCTGGGGGTGTTGCCCTCTGTCAGCTTGAGAAGGTAGGAATGAGTTTAAGGGCTCCTCCCAACAACGAGCCAGCCAAAGGCTGCATCGTGTCACCAGGGTGTTGTTTGGTTCAAACTGCGTATTTTGCATAAATGCTTTTGAGCCTAAGCCTGGTTTTTAATTAGTACTAGGTTTACTCTCTCTGAAGCCAGGCTCCCTGAGTCCTGTGAGGCCAACTGCCAGCTGTTCTGTTTCCTGAGAAAGAGTAAACTCTAATTTAAAATTTTAAAAGCTTTAAAATGAGCTAAACTCAAGCATGCTGCACTCCCCTTTCCCCTATTTTCACTTGAGGTAAATGAGCACACAAGCTGCAGGGCAGGAAAAATCAGAGCTTGACAGTTCCAGATGCAGGGAGTGGATGCAAAGTAAAAGTCATCGGGACCCTCCTGTATTCTTTCTAGTGAGGGTTAATAACACAGGCAAATATTTCAGTGACTAAAAGACATCATCACTGATGCAAGCCACTCTTCTCCTTCTGTCCCCAAAAGAAATACAGTCTCCTGGGACAGCATTCAAGAGCATATTTAAGCAGTTGTTTAAATTGAACAAGTTAAGAGCTGCCCCTGAAATTTTTCTGAATAAGATCATTAAATATCATGTACTCAAAACTGGCAAGGGAAAAATGGAGACCTTAAGTCTCATTTATTAATGACTATACACAACCCTTTGATGCCTCTCCTCTTTGTGAGTTAAATGGTTGCTCTATTAATAAGCTTAGTCCTGTCAGGCTCCACTTTGAGAGCAGCCTGGATGTGTTCTCGAGTGAAACTGTGCTCTTGCAGAAAATGCTGATCACATAGCAAAAATAAATTACTGGAAAATAAAGGATTTTGTGGGGGAAAAAAAAAAAAAAGCCAGAACTGGTATTCAAAAATGCCGTGTTCCAGTCCTCTATGAGGGTTGGTTTGTCCCATTTCCTAGCCTTCCAGTTGGCCTGGGCTTCCAAACCCTTACCCAGGGAGATGCAGTGTCATATCTCCAAAGGAAAGGGATTGTCCAGGGAGGATCTCAACATACAGAAAAGACCCAGAGAGACAATACACAAACTCCCATGAGGCACTGCTAGAGCACTTCCAAAGCACAGGGTTTGCTTTTTAAACCTTTGTTTTTCTTCTGAAAATTTGATGTGCTTGGTTCTAAATTCTGCATTCCCCCTGCACCGTTTGTCTTCCTTTGTAACAAAACAGCCACAGTTTCTACCTAGGTCTACTTGAATTGATGAGGGACAAAGCACACAAAATAATGCCCTGCCCATGCACCTACCTTGCAGCTTCTTTCCCCCTTTATGCAGAAGTTGATGCACACACACATGCATGTACACATGCAGAAACACCCCAAAGTTCCCTGCTACTTCTCCTTTTGGCAGTGAATCTCCAAGCTTCTCCCTCTCTTTCCCCTTTAATCCCCTGCAGCTGCAGTAGCCACCTACTGAGCACAGGATTGTGGGTCTGTGCCTCAGCATGCAGAGGAGCTGTGGGGAATGTGCAGCATTTCTTTCTGTACAGAATGCCCCTAACCTGCTGCAGACACTTCATTCCACACTGACACAGATGTAGGATGTGCCACTGTGCTGTCAGCTAGCAGTGCAATATAAATACCTGCAGGGCATGGATCTAATTGCCTTTGTTGTTCCTGATGAAGATAACTGCACAAATGCATACACTTTCCTTGCCAGCTCCTTTACTTCCATTGTAACTCATTTGTGATGCCACAAATTAACACAGGCTTGAGCCAGATTTCCAGTGAGGCTCAGTGGGGTACAGCTGGTCCAAATGATGCTGTTTGTCTTTGTGCTCATGTCTGCAGGCAAGTAGAAGGGAAATGCTGGGCAGGGAGTGGGATAACCTGTGCTGGAGGGCTCAGGAAACCTTATGTCAGACCTGCATGGTGGCTTGCTGCTGCTCTCTGTTTTCTAGCCTGGGTTTTGGTTTACATAGGAAAAGCTATTCTTTTGAATGTTAGGCAGCATGTTTTTGACAATAAACAGGGCCCTCAAAGAGCAGAAAGATAAAACCTTCCATAAATGTGGAAGTTGTTCTCTTTTTTCTTGTCCTGTTCTCCACTCTCAGCCGAGGGACTGAGGTTACCCCTCGTTATTGTCTGGCAAATCCACAGCTCATTGCTGGACCAGCAGCTGGGAGGAAGGACAGATGCCTGTAGCCATTGAAGGGGTGAGCATGCATCAGGTACCAAAAAAAGGTGGGAGAAGGAAAACCTTTGCTCCAGACAAGTGCCAGCCTGGCCCAAGGTGAAGTGGGGACACCCTGGCCTGTGTCACACAACACTGGCTGCACCCCAGCAGGCAGGGAAAGGTCCTTGAAAAGGAACAAACTTTTGCCTGGCATTTTCTGGAGTTTACCTCCAGCAGTGGATTGGTGAGCCAGGCTCTCAGCAGTGTTGCCATCCAGCCCAAATAACCCAAGTTTAGAGCTTGCAGGGACAGTCCTGTCATTGCCTCCATGCTCTGGGACTCAGCTTAGCCCCTGTGGTAGAGAAAGCCTCACCCTGAACTCTCCATCTAGCAAAAAAAAAAAAGGGTATTTTCCCACTCAATATTCCTCAAGTCACAGATTCATAATCGTGCAGAAAGGGGTTATATTGAATTCCTACAGTATTTCTATTTTTTTATGCTCAGTAAGAAGTTGGCTTTTCAGCTGGGGTAGGTTATCAGCAGAGATGAGCCCATTTCCCCAGGTGAAAGCCTCCCCCAGCCCCCTGCCCTGGCAGGTGGAGGTACCCCAGGCCCAGCCCAGAGCCTCAATCCCCCCAAGGAGCCCCTCAGCAGGTGCTGCTCTCTGTGCTGGTGGCTCCTGGCAGATGTTTGCCCGGCCCTGGCTGAGAGCAGGGCTCACCAGGGTCATGGACACAAGTGTTTTATTCCTTTCATTAATACAATGCCCAGAAAAGGAGAGCAAGGGAGACATTATGCTCCTCTGCAAAAGAAATTAACTCTGCTTTGAAGTGAGTTGCAAAACAAAGAGAAAAAAGGCCCAAGTAAGAAATCCTCCAGCTTTAAGTGAGGCTGTGCCACGCTGGGCACTGACAGGTCTCAGTCCCTGTAGGGCTGAGAAAATGTGTAGTCATCTCTCACCCTGGGCCTGTCTGTGGCACAGTAAATGGAGTTGTTCAGTTTAATTGGAAGACGAGCAGTGATTGTATTTTTGTAACCTATTAGATCTTGCTGGCTCTTGGTCTGGGACTGCACTCAAAATTGCAGTCTGGAATAAGAGTGAAGGCCTCATTTCTCTCCCCCTTCATCTTGATTAAATCATGATTTGAAACAGAAAAATCCAATAAATACATATCTTGGGTTCCCTTGAGGGCAGTGGTAGGTTCCCTGCTGAAAGCTGGAGGAAGCAAAGTTCATGAGATTACTTAATTACTTATTAGAGAGGGGGAGTGAAAATCCAAATGTTCACATAGAGAGAATTAGATTTGTGAAAGAGCAGAATCTTCTAAGACACCCTAGAAAAATAAAAAGCCATTAGAATTCAGAATAACACAGAGCAGTGTGATTCAGCTGAGCTTTGTGCAGTGTTTTTAGATGTAGCATTCTGTCTCCATCCTGGGTGGCAGGCATGACTTTCAGAAGTGGTAAAATGGGACGAGAAGCAGAGCTGAGGTCATCAGATGGGGACTGTGGGGAACTGGTCTGAGCAGGCAGGCAAGCTGAGCACCTGAGACTTGTCCTGGCTCTTGCTGCAGGACAGCATCCCCCTTAGAGCCCGCAGAAAGCTACTGGCTACAGCCTGGTACCCCAAGGTGGTGAGGCTGGGAGGCTGCTGTGTCCCCCCAGTGCCTCCCCTGCCCCATCCAGACCCTCCAGCTGTCACACAGACTATGTGTGAGATATGGATGTGTGATATGTGGATATGTGTAAGAACTGCATATTTCACTCATATCCTCATGTTGCCTCTTCCTGGAGTGTTGCTGCCACAGATGTTGAGCTATGGAGAAGCTTGTTGATGCCCCCAGTCATCTGACAGATGATTTTGTGATGTACTGACAGCAGTTGCTGCTTTTGAAGGTAGACTTCAACCAAGGATCCCAGGTCCCAGAGTCAGTCTGAAAATCTATTTTAGAAATGCCAAGAAACTGCTGTATTTCTTGGCTGAAATAATGGCCTTTTGGTTTAGACTGGGAAGGAACAGAAGGAAGGTGCATGTGATGCTGGGGTCAGTGTCCCTTGGAGCAGCCCTGTGCCCGCTCCAGGCTTTTCCTACTGCTGCATCTGGGGAGTACCTCACATGGTGGGTTTATACCTGTAAATGGAAGGTGATGAAAAAGCTGTTTATCTCTGGGTTAGGGTTTGCTCTAACGCAAACCATAACCCATCTTTTAAAAAAACGTTTGCCACGTTTGAAAGCACAGTTCTGTATCTTCTGGGGTGTGCCTGGGGAGAGTGCAGTGGTCCAGATCTCTTTAGGCTCTGGATGTGACATTAGGGTTTCAGAAAGAGTTGGTGAAAAGCAGAGCTGGGTACCTGGCTTTCCTATGCTCCCTTGACATTCCAATTTCTGCTGGAGCTGTAAGGACTGGTAGAGAAGTGCTAGAGCTGAGAAAGAAGCAAGAAGCAGCACCAGATGCTGAAATGACAACTTGTAATGTGTGTCTCTTCTTGGTTGGGAACACTTGGGAGATGTTTCTGTGTTGAAGGTGCAAGCTGGCTAGTGAAGAAGAATCACTTCATTTCCCATGTGTGCTACTGGGGTTCCTGATGCCTGATTTAGGACTGAGCATAACTCAGAAGTTAGTGTGGAATGGGGGAGTCCCCAGCTCCAGTAGGGATTTGCTGGGATGAACTAATTTTTGTCTCTTATCCCAGAAGTAGTAATGTCTCTCCCTGGCAACACAGGAAGTACTTGGAGATCTTCCAGCTCCACATGTTTTCAGAGCATGAGGTTGTTGTGGGAAGCCACCATTCCACTGGCCATGCTGAGACCTGCTGTGTGTGTTGGTAGCTCTGCTCTGGTTCAGCACCTGTGTCTGAGTCAGCTGTCCTTGCCCCAGTTAGCACCTCTTGAAGTAGGTTGAGGGCAGCTCTTCCCAGGGACATGGGCAGGAGGGTGGATGTGCAGGCACCATCTGATGGGATGAAGGAGCTCCATGTAAAACATGACACTGGCTGAGTGTCTGCAGCCCCTCTGAGGGTGAGAAAGCCAGGGGGTCCAAAGGGACTGGCTCTGTCCCTGCTGTGTGATAGCTGATCCAGGTCTCCTCTGCTTTTCTTGGCTCAGAACACCTCAGATTGGTGAGGACATGACCCAGGTCCCCAGTGTAGACAGCAGGGCATAGAGGGGGGTATTGTGTGCCCAGAGTGTGGCATGAGGTGTTTGAGGGAGCACAGCTTGCTGGGAACATATTGGAGGACTATCAAGAGTGGGGAGCACCAAACCTGTGTGTCCACACTCTAAGGACCCTGGACCAAACCTCATGGGTGGGAATGAGGAGAGCAGAGCTGCTGAGTGAAAGAGGAGGAGGCCACATGAGAACGCAGATGTGCTGGGTCTGTGTTTGGCCCTAACTGTCACCCCACTGCAAGGGCAGGTGTTAGCACTAACACAGCCCCACTCCCAGTGCTGGTACATCCCTGGACCAGCTTAGGTAAATGCTAGTGGAGTTAAAACTGAACTATAAAATACTGAAATGATGTAAATCCCCTTGGTGATGCTCAGGGTTCCAGAAAACAGCCTTCCCCAGGGAAGCCTATGTGAGTTTGAGGTCCTTGCTGGCCCTGTTCTGCTCAGCAATCCACCAAAACCCAGCCAGGGTATGGCTGGACCCCCACGCAGAGACTGGCCAGGAGCAGGGTTTTCCTCCATTATTTTTTTTTTCCTTCTTCCCTCACTTGATTTCCCTTTGCCACTTCCACAAAACCCAAGGGGATTTAGTGCAAGCTGCGACTTTTCATCACAAGCCATCAGCCTCCAGGAACGGGCCGGGCAGACTAATTTAAAGCAGAAGGAAACAAAAATTAATAATAAGGGAGACAAGCGAGCAGACAAAAAGCAGTCGTGACATTTGTGCAGAGGAGGCAGCAAACAGTTGGCAGTGTGGATTGAAGAGAGGGTTTATGTTTTTTTCATGTAATTTGAGACTCTAATGATGGACTTATGTTGCCCGCTCTTCCTTTTTTCTTACACCTTACCTACTAAAGGAGGAGTTCTTGATGGGTAAGTGGATGCTATCCGCAAGACACCAGGGAATTTATTAGAGGTCACTTGAGCGCATTAGCTATATCTTCTTCAGGGGGTAAAAAAAGCACACAAACAAGTATCTGTCTACCTTTTATTTCCAAAGGGATTTTTCTTTTTTTTCCCCCTCACCCTCTTTTTTCTTTCTTTTTTTTTTTTCTTTTTTTTTCCCCTTTTTTATTTCAAAGTGATAAGCTTGTTTATTTGCCAGTTTTTACTTTGTGCAGAAGCCCTTAATTTGATTTGATTTGGTTTTTTGTTGCTTATTTTGGTGACATTCGTTCAGCCGCTTTATTAAGGAAGCTTAAAAAATTCACTCATTTAAGATTTTATTTCTTTTTTCTTTGCAAGGATTATGTAGATTTTGAATGTATATACCCCCTTTTTTTTTCTCTCCCCTCTTTAAGGTTAAATAAGGGCTTTGTCCTCTGTTATATTTTTTTTTTATTTAGTTAGTTATTTTGATTCTTTGGTTGCCCGCTTACTTTGTTGAACTTTTTTGTTTAACATGAATCGCATGCTGATACTCTTTGCATGATCTCTAAATCTTCCCATTATCATAGCAGGGGGAAAAGAAGTTTCTTCTTACTGTGGATTTCTTTTAGGGATATGTGCTTTTGTTCTCCTTTCTTCTTTTTCTTTCTTTCTTTCGTTGTTTCTTTTCTTTCCTTTCTTTTTGTTTCAGTGCATCATGATGGTAAAATTTCTGGGTTTATTTAAAAAAAAAAAAAAGCAAAGTAAAACAAAAAAACAACCCCCCCCAAAAAAAAAAATCATTCAAACAATGCCAAATGGCTTTTTTGCTTTCAGATCTCTCAGTCAGGGTCTTCTGCTGACCTCTTTACCAAAACAGACAGCCCGCCTGGCAACCTAACCCGCCAGAACGGAGAGTATCATGAATATGACTCAGGAAACGATACTTCCTCCCCTCCCTCCACTCAAACGAGCTCATCCAGGTCAAAGGACAGCCAGGAGAAAAGAAGTCTAGTCCATGATGGCTTTGGCCATGCCTTCTCGTCCGGGAAGCCCAAACTGGCCAACAGCGATAACAGCTCTGATTCAGGAAATTCCTTCACCAGTTGTTTTTCCCAGACCAAGGGAACAGCTTTGGAAAATCTGTCTCCAGATGCCCAGGGACAAGACCGAAGGTCAGTGATTCCCGGTAGCTGCTGCTGGCAGCCAAATACCTGGTGTGTTGTTGCTCTGTATCTCCTGCCCGCTCGCCAGCTGCTGTGGTGAGCCGGCAGGGAGGTGTCTGTGGCCTGGAGGCAGGCAGATACCAATCACACCCACGGTCTTGCCAGTCTGGAGTCCAGAACCCAGCAAGGACCAGTACTGTAGCCTGAGGAGGAAGATAAAATCCAGCCATAACATCCCTGGGCTTTGCTTGCACGGGTGCTTCTGGCTTTAGTGTGGTTAACATAGAGTTTAGGCCTGGGTCAGGCTGTGTCCAGAGCACATTCCTGCTCAGCTGGGCATGGCACATCAAAGAAAAGTTTCACTGGCCTTTCTGGGAACAATCTGAAAGGGGCATCTGGGGGTTGATGCGCTACTTCTCTCCCTCTGCCTACTGAGGGGAAGGGAAGCAAGATTTGTTTTCACTAAAACCATTATGGGCTGTTCTTTCACCTGTCCAATGAAGCAAACCCAACCTGCCCCCTTCCCAGCTCATCCAGGACTGGTCCAGGGTGAAAAGATAGCATCTCCTGCTAGTGGAGAGCACAGGGAGGGGCAAGTACCTCGCTGGCTGCAGGATATCACAGCAGCAGCACTGGAGCCACAGTGCTTGGCATCCAGGCTTGGGCAGGAGTCAAACCACCACCCAGTGCCACAGGTCATCCTCAGGAGAGAGGAGTAGCTGCTGGCCTCCAACACTGCCTCCCATTCCTGGAGATTTGCCAGGGGATGTTGGGGGTGAGGACACTGAAACTTGGTGGCTGGTACTCAAGGCTGTGCTCAGGCAGTGGTGTTAGGGAACTCTTCCAGCTCAGGCCCTTGGGTCCTAAAGGCTGGAAGTTAGAGCCAGGATATGATCTGGGAGTGGGAGCCAGGGGAATGGGTGCTAGGAAGAACAAGCTTTGTTTTTCAGTCAGAGGGTAAAATTTTAGGGCTGTATGTACTTATCACATTGTGACTCCAGTGGGATAACTCTGCCTTCACATGGGTGGAGCTGGGATTGCAGCTGGCCCTGGCTGCTGGGAGGCTGCCTGGCTGCTGGGCTCTTGGCCCCAGTTAATTCCCTGGGCACTTCTGTGCCTGGAAGAGGAGGAATCCACACAGCACTGTCCAAAGGCAACAGGACATGCCTGCTCAGTGTCCACTCATGCTGCTCCACAGCCAGGCTGGAGCAGAGCCCCCTGTCCTGCCATGCTCTGCCCTTCCCTCACTCCAGCACTTCTCACCTCACTCCCTGCCCAGAACCTGCACTGCTTGCTGGCCTGACCCAGGCTCTGCCAGCCAGATGCCTCTGGTGTGTTTGGCACGGGGCAGATGAGCAGCTCCTTGTGCCACCTGAGACCTCTTCCACAGCCCTTCCCTGGCACAGCCCGGAGGGTGAGCTCTTGGGCTCTGACCCACACACATGGGGTTTCCCACAACAGCAGCCTGGGGAGCCAAGAGGTCTTTTTTACCCCCAGTTGGGGAATGGGAGGATGGGAGTATTTGTTTGCTGGAGCATGGTGCTCCCCTCAGCCAGGGACCAGTCCCAGTTCAGCCACAGCTTCAAGGAGTGCCCAAACATCTGTTCACAGAGGGTGCCTGTCCTTGTGTCTCAGTTCTTCGGAGGAGAAGAAGCGAAACTTGCCCCCGTCCCCAACGCACAGCTCCCCGCTCAGGCCGTGCTCCCGCAGCGCGTCCTACACCAGCACGGGCAGATCCTCCCCCGGCTCCAGCCGCTCCCGCTCCTCCTCGCACCGCAAGGCCTCTCCCAGGTACTCCCGAAGCAGGTCCTGCTCCTCGGGAAAGAGGTAAGGCCAGCTGAAATGGCTGTCTCTGTGACCCTGGGCAATGTCTAACCCTTGTTGGCTGGCAGGCTCCTTACAGGGGGAGGTGTGAGAGTTTGGGGGGGTGCCTGGGGATCCGCAAGGCTCGGATCTGGCTCACAGAGCTGAGCCCGTGAAATATGGGACATCTCTTTCCCCTCACCCAGGTTTGGAGTAGTCTCGTACAGCCTCAGCCTTCAGCCTCTTTAACTCTTTTATGTTTCTTTCCTGTCTCCAGGTCTTCCTCACGTTCCCCCAGCTATTCCTCCAAATCCTGCAAAAAAAGTCCTGGGAGTAGGAGTTCAAGGCCTCGTCGGAGCCCCAGTTACTCCCGCTACAGCCGCAGCAGGTACAGCTCTCTACTCATGTGATATCTGCTGCCTCAAGCTTTCCTGCTGCCTCCATCACTTGGCTGGACTCCAGCATACCTCCTGGTTCTTCCCAGACTGCTCCCTCAGCTTCCTCACTGTGGTGAAAGGGAGCAGAGGGTCATGCAGGAAGGCATATGGCAGTATATTGGCCCTCAGTCCACTGGAGATTTCTCACCATTTATTGCCCCTGAGGTGCTGTTGCAGAGGGAAGAGCCCAGAGATGAGCTGCAGAAAAAATGGATTTTCTGGAGCCGAGGACTGTCTGGTATTGATTCAGGAGGATTTCACACAAAGCACTTTTGGGGTGGGTTGCTGGGAAGGAGACCTGTTTTATCCTTTGCCTTGAAGCATCATGGTCACAGTCAGAGCATGTGGCAGGTGAAGTGGCTGTCCCTCAGCTCCAAGCCCTTGCAGGGGACAGCTGTGCAGCCAGGAGTGCACAGATGGCTGCTCTGCTCAGTGGTGTGTGCCACGGCCTCATCCCAGTGGGAGATGCCTCACGGGAAAACCCAGGGAGTGCCCCTCTCTGTCATGCTGCTGTGAATGGTGGGCAGAGCATGAGGCTCTGTCTGGGTCTGGCCACCCAGGAGAGGAGCTCATGCCAGAGAGGGGTCTGACTGCAGCAGGGAATGACACTCTGCTTTTCAGAGTCACGGCTCTGCCAAAGATTGTCAGGCCCTGGGAAGTGCCCCTGTTGCCAGGGCAGATGCCAAGTACCCTTGGGCTGGCACTCACAGCCCTGCAGAGGGAAATACGGTCCAGGCACTCTCTGTTCCCTCCACACTCCTTAGAAAACACACATCTCCAGCTCAGTCCTAGAGATGCCTTTGGGCAGGTTCTTCTGGTATCATCACTGCTGCTGTGAACATTTTGCACCCTTAAAATCATACATTCCCAAGGTTGATTCTTGCAAGCTGTGACAATCCCTGTGCTACTGAGGAGAACGTTTTTTGCATGGAAGGATCAGGCAGGCTCTTGACCTGTAACGTGTTGCTTTGCAGATGGCACTGAGTGGGGTGTATGAAGTCAGCCACGCTCCACAGAAGGGCCTGTACTGACGTGTAGGGGAATTTAACAAAAGAGAAAACCATAGCAACACCGGCACTCCTTCTGGCGAGGCTGAGGAGCCCTGCAGGGATTCGGGGCCGGGGCCCTGGGCTCACGTGGGGCCTTCTGGCAGGGCTGTTCCTGCTGGCAGGGCTGTGAGTGCCAGCTCCAGCAGCATGGCCAACAAGAGCAATTTTACAGAGCTAAATGCAGAGCACACCCACAGACACGGGTCCCTGTAAGCCATCTTAGCTTGGCAGTGCAGAGCCACTGTAGGACACTGCTGGAACCCCCAGACACAATCAGTGGTGTCCATCTGTCCAGCCAGATGAGTGTCTCTCTGTCCAGCTACATGAGAGCTCAGGGCTGATGCCACCAGAACACCTAGAGTGGTCCCTTTTGGACATGAGTGCCCTCCACTCAATGGGTCATTGCCTCCACATCCCAAATCCACCCACAAAACTGTCACCCAGCAGTGACAGTTCACAACCTGTGCCTTCCCCAGGGACCGTGAGCGAGAGCACAAGTACAGCTCCAGTGAGAAGGAGTCGCACCGGGAGCGTGACCGGCAGCGTCGGCGCCGCTCCTACTCCCCCCTGAGGAAGCGCCGGAGGGACTCTCCCAGCCACCTCGAAGCTCGGCGCATCACAAGGTGAGGGGATGCCGCCCCATCCTTCGCACACGGGCTCAGCTGGCGCTTCCCAGGGGGATATGTGGGCTGTCCTTGGGTCCCGGCCCTTGCCAGAGGAGGTTTCTCAGGTTTCCCTGAGCCTGATCAACAGGCCCTTCCACCCCTCCCAGAGCTTGGGGATTTCTAGCTAGAGGCAGAGGGAGGACTTGGGGGGGTGTGTGTGTCTCATTTACAACAGCTGAAGGAAAAAGGATGCAGTCAGAGCAGGGACTCAGGTGCCAGGAGCATCTCCTCACAGGTTTTTATTTCATCCTTCCCTGTGGTAGATGTCCCACACTGTAGAAAGACAAATATTGACTCCAACGTTCATGCTGAGGGCTCTTTGGGACAACATCAAGCAGAACCCTGCCTCAGATTTCATGCTTGGGATGTTCCCCAGGGCTGTAGGTGTGGGTGGTTTGAATCCCAAGGCCCATCAGCTACCTGATCTTTTCCTTCTTTTTCTTTTAAGCAAACACATTCACATTTCTGGGAGTGTTGTGCAGAGCAAACAGTGCTCTTTGGGGATTTTGGCAGTAAATCTGTCCTTGTGTTGCTGGTAACCCGTGTCTCTCTGTCCCCACAGTGCCCGCAAACGCCCCATCCCCTACTACCGTCCCAGCCCCTCCTCCTCCAGCAGTGCCAGCAGCTATTCCTCCTGGTACAGCAGCTTCAGCCGCTCCCCGAGCCGAAGCCGGAGCTACTCCAGCAACGACGAGCCGGAGCCGAAGCTGGAGCAGCAGCAGCGCCGAGGGCAGGAGCCGCAGCCGGAGTTCGGGCCCCAGGAGCAGCCGCAGCAGGAGCAGGAGCTATGACTCAGGAGCCAGCTCCGACAGCCTGCGTCGTTAGGGAGTGCCGCTGGTGGCTGACACCGTGTGCCGGCGGCACCTCCAGATTCCTGGCATTCTCCGCTTCCTTCCCACCTACCTGGCCATCGATAGCAATCATCCCCGATACTGATGTGGTGGCAGCGCCGGGTCCCCCTTCCCCGGTTCAGAGTAAGAGCCCTGGAGCGCCTGATGCAGCCCCTTTGTTCTGCCATGGAGTGGGTGGATCAGTCCCAGCTCCCTGTGCCAGGGCTGGAAGAAGGGTCGGTGCTTTACAGAGGGTCTGTCACGACAGACCTGCTCCATCCTCCCTGATGCTCCCGTCTCTCCATCGCTGCCACTCTCCAAAGCACTACCAGCTGTTCCAAAGGAAAGAACTCAGCTCCAGGAACCAACAAATTAACTTCTGTTGGAGGAAGAGACCCAGTTAGGGAGGAGTTTGCTGAAAGCTTCTGAGATGAGGGGGGTGACCTGTCCCCACCAAGGCAAATATCAGGTCCTTTGGGTCTCTCCTCCAGAGTAGCTGCCCATTCTGTAGCAGGCCTTTTCCATAAGAAAATATTTATTTATTGCCACTCAGCCAGGCCCTGCTATAATTAGAAGGCTAGAAATCCCTCCTGACGTAATTTCCAGGGAAAAAAAGGGCTGTTTGCTCTTTCTCCTGCCCTTTCCTACTAAGTAACCACACCTTTTGCAGGGTTGTTTTATCCCCCAGTGCTGACTTGCTTGCAAGCAGCCTGCTGAGGTCTGAAGCAGACAGGGGGCTGGTGGGGTACAAGGCAGAGGGGAGCTGCTGCCATGCTGCACTCCGAGGGTCAGGCAGTGGCATGGGAGACAGGGGCCACGTGGTTCCCTTCTTGGAGGAAGCCTCGTGCAGTTTGGGTTCAGGTTTTTCTAAAGGGAGCGTTGCCCTCGGGGTGGAACCGTAGGGAGGTGTGGAGACAGCCTGGTTGTGGGGTACAGTGAGAGCACACAGGGTTAAAAGGGCATTGCATGAGCCAGGGGACCCCAAATCCCTTTCCTGAAACACGCAGTAGTTTTAAGCAGGATTTCAGGAAACCATTTCTCCTTGAGCCCCTCAGGCTGCCCTGAGGCAGGACCAGCAGCACAGTAGTGCTGGTGCCAGGCTGCAGCAGGGTTTACTGGTGGCCCAGTTTGTCACCGGGAGGCCAGAGCAGTGCAAGGCGACAGGAAGGGCCCCCCACTAATTGCCTGTTTTTCCAGGGAGCCGCAGGCAGTGGCAGGAGGGCCCTGCCTGCCCGGCCTCCCTGGGCCCTGGGGTTTTGTCTCCCTGCCAGCCCAGCTGCCTGCGCAATTACTGTGTTTTGCCGGGTAACAAAGGCTTCTCCCAGCACAGGCTGAGCTGGTGCTGAGGAGTTTATTTCTCTTACAACACCTGGGTGCTTAGAGACGCTAATTTGGACTTCCCACCCTCCCTTTTTCCATCCCCTCCCCTTCCATCCTGCCTGATTATTAACGAGTTTGGGCTTAATGAGTCAAGGAGGTGTGTTGTTTAAATGTCACAGAAAAGGGCTGAGTGGAGCCACCATCTGCGGGAGGAGGAGAGGGGGCAGAAAGGAATGCAACTCTCCCCCATCTAAAGAGTTACCTACAGCCCCCTCCAATGCTGCTGGCACCAGGAAAAGGGCCAAAGCAGCAAGTGGAAGAAAGCCAAGTGCCACGAGGTGTTGTGGTGGAGATGGATGATCGCCTCAGCAAGCCTATAAACCTGTTACCTGTTGAAAAGTACAGCAGTGAGGGCTGGAATTCCACCTGGGTGGTATGAGGGGAAGTTTTATGCCAGGAAGTCTCTTTCCCCGTATCCTTCCTACTGCTGGTTCCCCTTGTCCTGTGCCTTCAACACCCAAAGTCCCTCCTTTTCCTAGACCCTGATCCCCAGCCTTGCTCCCTGTAGGTAATGTTAGGATGAGGATGGCTGAGGCAGAGAGGTGGGCATTGGTGTAGTTGGTGGTTTGGTAGGGGCATATCTGTCTCCTGGGACGACACTTTCTAGGACAAAGAGAGAAGCATTCCTTGTAGGGCTGAGGAAATGCTCCAGGGCTGTGGTTGAGGGATCAAAGACAGGGTATTCTTGCAGTGGGGTGCCACTGCCTTCCCTCCTGTGCTGGCCCTGACAGTGGCCCCTTGGCCACCTTCTGCAGTGAACTCCCTCTCTAAAGGGCTGAAAACCTCACAATTCTTCCCCAAAGAGTCTTTCCCAGTCTGATGCTGAAATACCCTGTCCTTCTGCTCCCGGGGAAGATCCAAAGGCAGTGATGGGAGCTCGGATCCCAGCTTTACCAATGTTTCAGGAGCAGCCTCCTGCCCCTTGGCACCCCCTAACACACACATGCAGCTGTAGCAAGGAAGCAGCGAGCCAGAAGATCCAAAATGAAGAAGGAAAAGAGGAGGGGCTTTGTGCAACTGGTGTAAATACCAAACACACATCGTGGCTGGGGTTGGACAATGGAAGCACCACACCAGGATCAGCAGCATCCACTCCCCATGGGACAGGAGATGACCCTGAGGGTTGCACAGGGCTCTCAAACCTGTCCAGCTGATCCATGTTTCAAGGACTGCATCTGCCTGGACAGTCCATGGCAGCTAAACGTTCCTGGGGTTTCCCAAGCAGACTTGCATTGGATTAAACCTCCTAAATTATTTATTTATTTATTAATTATTATTATTATTACTATTCTATTTTTAATTCTATGTCAGAATGGATGCAAGTGGTCACCGTTACCAGTATTTATTTATTTATTTTTTTTAACATTAAGTTATTTTTGGATTTGTTTGTTTGTTTGTTTGTTTGAATGTATCCATGCTGCCGGTCTCATGTAAAGGTTTACAGCTCTGGCCCCTCTTGCTGAGGAGTGACAGTCACTCCTGCTGCCGACGTGTCCCTTTGTGCTCTCTGGAGCAGGGCGGACAGAGGGACGCGGGGGCAGAGCTGTGTGCTTTCACGTTAAAATCTAGGGGTCTCTCATTAGATTTGCGCAGGAATGTGATGGGTGTGAGCATACAGAGGTGATGGCGAGGGTCTGCCGGCCGGCTGAGCCCCGGGGTGTTGGCAGTGCTGCGAGGGGAAGTGTCTCCCGGGCCGTGCTCAGCCGGCCGGGTGCCAGTTGGCTGCTGTGCTGTTTCCCTTGGCTCCGCAGCCGGTGCTCAACCCGAAACCAATCTGCTCCGCAGAGGCACTGCTGGTTTCCCTGGGAGGATGCCGTCGCCAGGACTCCCCTGCTGTGTTTATCCCTGCGCAGTGACCCACCCATGGGAAAACTAAAGAAATGAGACTGTGAGAGACTGATCCCTGCGGAAGGTCCTTGCAAAATCCAGTCCGTGTGTGTGTACGTATGTATGTGCACATGTGCATATACATGTGTTTCCCTTGGTCATGGTATTTATTTTTTAACTTATTTAAGATTTTTAGTACAACCTGGAACATCACCCTCCCTTGTCAGTGGACAACTGGGGTTTCTGTGAGTTTGTGTGAAGCCCGTGAGCTTTTCTGTCTCTGTGCCTTTTGCCAGTGCTTTTTTTTTCTTTTTTTTTTTTTAATTCTCTCATTTGTTGCTTTTATGGATTTTTGCTCTGAATCCAACATCTCAGATTGCTGCAGGTGCTCTCTGCAAAGAGCAAGTTCATCCGGTGGAAAAGCAACTTGGTCATTTTGATGTTGGTGAATTGCTGCTCACCTGTGGTCAGACACACAAGGGATGTCCAAGGCTGGCCATAGCATCAGGAAAATGCTGGGAAGCAAAGATAAGGGATGTTTCAAAGCACTGTTCTGTTTGTTCTTTTCTTCATGGCTTACAGCATTCAGCTGAGCTTTGCTTTATGTTGACTGCAACTTTCTCAATGTTTTTGTTGTTTTGGGGACTGAATTTGTACCAAATTTGTCTGCAACAGCCAATCACTGTTATTTTGCTATGCATTGTACATATATTGAACAGGCTGAGAGGACTTGGCCTCTATTTAATATTTATTTCTTCTATTTATTGAGCATTAATTTAAAAAAGCTGTTTGGGCCATGCCATTGGGTCTATGAAGGTAGGAGCCTTTGAGGTGTTGCCATATATGTTGGAGAGAAACAGGCAAATTGGGCTCATTTGGACTTCACCATCAGTGATTTAGGGAAGAACCTCATTGTGACAGAGATGGGCAAGGCAGCTGAAAATTCTCCATCTCCCTGGACCAGCTCCTGTTGACAAATCACATCCCCCTGGAAAGGTGCAGGGCATTCAGAGGTGACAGGCCAGCTCTTGTGGAGGAATAACCCTCCTCCTCCTCCTCTGCCATATGGAATAGGGCTGCCTGGATCACCAAAGATCCCTGGAGATCTCTGATCTCCCACTGCTGGTCCCCTCTTCCCTCTGGGAGAGGGGAATACTTGTCACCTTTGCATGGATGATGAGGAAGAGGATAGGGTTGAAGTGACTGGCCGTGGTCTCTACCAGGAAGGCAGGATGTCCACACTGCCCCATCCTGAGACCCTTGTGCCATGTCCTGCTTTCCCCCCTTCCCTGAGCTTTGTGCCAGAACCAGTAGCTTTGCCCAGGTGGGAGCTCAGGAAAGGTGGCCAGGGCAGGACTGGGGAGGTCTCTGCTGCTGTTTCCAACACAAGCAGAGCTTGCTGCAGGAATCCTCCCCCAGCTTTGGAAAGAGCATGGGACGTGCTAAAAATCACGATCTGCCCCAGTGTCCTCTTTCCCTGAGTGGGAGGTGTTTGTGCTCCATGGGCAGAGATGCCTGTGGTGGTGGAGTGTGGACGTGGCTCTGGCATTGATACGTGCCCAGTGCTGGGCTGTTCCCAGGGAGCTGGCTGGGAGCTGCTGGGTGCTCAGCCTTGGGGCAATTGGGATGTTGATCTGAGAAAGGGATGGATTCAGGTGCCTAAGTGAAGACTTTGCCCTGTAGTGTCCAGTGGGGTTTTATTACCTCTTTACCAGAGAACAAATAATTCTCATGACTTTGCTGCTACCTGGAAGTTTGCACATGACTGGGAGGGTCCCTGAAGCACCGGTACATCTGCTGTTGTAGCAACAGCATCGTGGTCAAGCATCCCAACTTTTGGGCTACTGCCTAAAGAAAAACACCCTGATCCTCACAGGCCTGGGACAGCTCTCCACCTTCAAAACCCAGGGAATGAGAAGATCTAGAAAAGCCAAGGCATGAGAAAAGCCGTGAGGGAAACAGTGTCTCTGTTTTCTCGCCCATTGGTCGATTCCACACCAAATGACATTGGTGCATCTGTTTGTTTGAGTTCATTGTAAAGCTCCCCTTGCTCTCCATCGACATGTGTTCTGTATCCTTTAGTCTTACTGGGTGTTTGAGTTGTTAGCCTGGTTAGAAAAAGGTTCCAATAAAGGTTCGGACAGTATTTCCTTTGCATCACAGCCCTGTTTGTTGTGTTCCTTTTGGATCCAACTGTGCACAGTGGGATATTTTGGGTTGTTTCAGCTGCTCCACAGGGAAGGGCATGTGCCTCCACTCCCAGCTGCTGAGGACTGGCTCCTCAGGGCACTGGCTGAAGAAAAAAAAGTTGTGGGCTAGTATTTCTGGCAGCTCTCCTTTCCCTGCTGGGCCAGGCTTCTGCTGCCCTTTGCCAGGCACTTTGGATCCCCCCACCCTATTCAGGCATGGGAAGTCCAAGCCAGAAATCCGTCCATCTCTCCATGGAGGTCACTGTTGGGCTCAACAGTGCTCTCCTTGGGGCTGTGCCTTTCCCTGTTTGCACAGCTCTTACTCCAAGCCCTGCACAGAGCTCCTGCCATGGTCACCTTCTTGCCAGGAGGCAGAGGCAACTGGGATTGTTCAGCACCCTCACTTTGGGGTGTGCCCCTGGACTGGCTGGAAGCCCCACAGGGGAGCAGCAGCACTGGGCCAGGTCCCCATGCTGTCCCCAACAGGTCTCAGATGGGCACCCAGGAAAGGTCTGGCCGTGGCACAGATGGGTCTTGGGAACACGGGGCAGCATCTCCAGGTCACTCGGAGCAGAAGGGAGGCTGCAAGGGCACTTCATGCTTCCCAGAACTGATGTCGTGGGGTGGCTCAGCAGTGGGAGGCAGTCGGGAGGTTTGGAGTGACAACAGGAGCTAAATTGGGATGGCCCAGAGCGGGTGGGAGGGGACGTGTGACTAATGGGGATGAACGAGGCGACAGGCAGAATTCCTGGCCGGGGAGGGAGAATGGCCTGGAGCTATGTGGGAAAAATGTGGGACTGGGGATGTTGTGAGGCTCCTGGAAACACAATAGGATCGTGGGGCTGCCCGAAACATCCTTGGGGCTTGTCCCCCTCTCCCAGTGCTCTGGTGTTTGCCAGAGCAGGTGCAGATGTCAGTGCTGGAGTGACCCTACTGCCCAGCCACGGTGAGAGGTGCCCCACTCAGCTCAGGATCAGTGCGTGGCCACATCCCCCAGGCCCCCCTACTGTCACCCGTGGGCAGCAAGAGCCCCCAGCCAGGCAGGGGCAGCCAGGCAGGAGAAGGGCATGGAAGGGGATGCTCAGCTTCTCTGCTGGCAGCTGCCTCCCTGCACCAGGGGTGCTCAGCCGGCACCTGGGACTTCCCCAGGCATCTTCAGGCATCCCCCTTGGACCCCAGGGAGACCCCTGTGATACCAGCTGCCTCCACGGAAGCGAAGGAAGCCCTGTCCCGGCCCAGGAGAGGCAGCTCCCCGCCCCCAGCGATGTCACGTCGGTGCAGCGTCATTAATGCCACGGAGTGACCGGTGGCTGAATCTCTGCGCGGCCTGCGCTGCATTAAAGTCTTCCTGCTGCAATTAGTTCCATCAAGTCCATTAGAAAAATTGCAAATGCTGGAGAGACGGAGCATGAGGCAGAGCCAGGATGCGGCAAGAGGAAGTTCTTCCGTATCCAACATGACCTTCATTGATCACATCCCACCGTCCAGCGCATCCCACTGCTCGCCGGGGCGCTGCTTGGATCACCTCCACGGGGAGTCCCTCTTGCCGAGCGGTACCCCTGCATGTCGCCCGGGCTGGGGCTGTGTGTACTCCGGGTGGATGCTCGCGGGAGGCTCCCCGGCAAGCGCGCCGCGCCTCTCCCCGCGGCGGCCGGCTCGCTCCCAGCCGCTGCCCTGTAATTAGCCGGCCGCGGCTGTGATTAGCGCCTCGCCCTGCCCGCACCGGGATTGCGGCAGGGCCGGGGCACGCGGCGGGGCGAGGAGGAGGCAGGTACCGAGCAGCACCGTGGGGACCCTGCCTGCTTCCCGGGGTCCCTCTCCTTCTCCCAGTTAGGGGACATTTCTCTGGGCCCAACAGGTGAAGGTGGCCAAGGAAGCGGTGCTGGAGAGGGGCATCCTGTTCCCTGCCCCGCATCCCCCAAACACCCACCCACGGGGTTCCACCGCCCTCGCTGTGCTGTGCTGGGGGTGCCAGGGTTCCACCGCCCTCTCTGTGCTGTGCTGGGGGTGCCACCAGTGACCCATTTCCCGGTACAGTGGTACCCGGTGGCGTGGGGACACGTGGCTTTACAGTGAGGGGAACAGCTTGGTCAGCCCCACCAAGGTATTTTTAACAGGTGACACTGGGGTGAAAGAAGCCAGCCCGGGCTATTTTGGGCAGGCAGGGCGGCAGGAGGGGGCAGCGGGGGCTGGGGCAGCTGCTGAAGTGCCGTGGCCCCAGCGCAGTCGGGATCCTCGGGCTAGCAGGAGTGGTCAGCTGCCACAGCCCGGATTCTCCACGGCTGTTTCATCCTCTCCAAAATACTCGGCTGACA